TGGATGGCTGGGTGGGTGGGTGTCTGGATGACTGGGTGGGTGGATGGATGGGTGGGTGAATGGCTGTGTGGGTGGGTGCATGGATGGATAGATGGATGGATAGATGGATGGGTGGGTGGGTGGGAGAGTGGGTGGGTGGGTGGGTGGATGGGTCGGTGGGTTGATGGGTTGATGGGTTGATGGGTGGATGGGTGAATGGATGTGTGGGTGGGTGGGTGAGCGGGTGGGTGGATGGGCTAGTGGGTGGATGGGTGGGTGGGTGGGTGGATGGGTGGTGGGTGAGTGGGTGGCTGGATGGCTGGGTGGGTAGATGGATGGGTGGATGGCTGGGTGGGTGGGTAGGTGCATGGATGGATATATGGATGGGTGGGTGAGTGGGTGGGTGGATGGGTCAGTGGCTGGGTGGATGAATGGGTAGGTGGGTGGATGGGTGGGTGGATGGGTGGGTGGATGGATGGGTGGGTGGGTGGATGGGTCAGTGGGTGGGTGGATGGGTGGGTGGATTGATGGGGGGGTCGGTGGGTGGCTTGATGGGTGGGGGAATGGATGGGTTGATGGCGAATGGATGTGTAGGTCGGTGGATGGGTGGGTAGATGGGTGTGTGGGGGTGTCAGTGGGTGGATAGGTGGGTGTGTGTGGGTGTCTCCACTCACTTTTGCCATCCACAAAGAAGCTTGAGGCGAAGTTCCTGACCCTGACGATGCCATCCGCGATGTTCGCCAACAGAACGTTGCTCTGGATGGGGAGTGAGCCGCAGGGAGGGAATTCACACCCAGCATGGTCAAGGCGGTGAGCGTCGTTTACGACCGAGCGTCTGTGCAGGGGGACTGCCTCCGCTCACAGACGTTCAACTTACGAAGTTTCAGAGATATGTGCAAAAAAAACAGTGACATCTACATCTGCAGAACGTGAAGAACCTGTGACATCTACATCAACAGAACATGAACAACCTGTGGCACCTACAGAACGGGAAGAACCAGTGGGATCTACAGAGCATGAAGAACCAGTGACATCTTCATCTACATAACGTGATGGAACAGTGGCATCTATATTTACAGAACGTGAGGAACCAGTGGCATCTACATCTACAGAACGTGAAGAACCAGTGGTATCTACATCTGCAGAACGTGAAGAGCCAGTGGCATCTACATCTGCAGAACGTGAAGAACCAGTGGCATCTACATCCGCAGAACATGAGGAACTATTTGCATCTACATCTACATCTGCAGAACATGAAGAACGAGTGGCATCTACATCTGCAGAACGTGAAGAACGAGTGACATCTGCATCTGCAGAACGTAAAAACCAGTGGCATCTACATCTACAGGACGTGAAATACCAGTGCCATCTACATCTACAGGACGTTAAGACATAGTGGCATCTACATTTGCAGAACGTGAAGAACCAGTGGTATCTACATCTGCAGAACATGAAGAACACCAGTGACATCTACATCTGCAGAACATGAATAATCAGTGGCATTTACATCTGCAGAGCGAGCACCAGCGCCCCAGCGTGTACAACAACCGCCATTCGCCACTAAGTGGCGGTGACGTCACCACGACGCTTGTGCCAGGCCATGTGCACCTTGAGGCTACGTGAAGTGTCGAACGCCCGCTGGCAGGAGGTCACGGGGCAGACCCAAGTGCCACGGGTCGACTGACTCAGATGACTGGCTGATGCACCACCTGTGCCCCCTACTGTGCCAACCTTCTGTGCTTTAGCCACCCGGTGCTCAGCTCGTTGTTGTGAGCGTCGCCCCTCCATCCTCCGTTGTTGTTGGAGGGCAACTGCCTCCAACTGCCCAGCAGCGTCCTTCACGAGCCTCCTCCACAGAGGCCGATCTTGACACCACTGGTACCAGTCATCGGCAAGTCCACTTAGCTCCACGTCCTTCTGTGCCACATCACTCCATCTCTTCTCTAGCCCGTGCCGTGCCCATTTAGCTCCCTCGATCCGGCCGAACAAAAGCTGTTTCGGCATGCGGTGGCTGGGCATGCAGGCTACATGACCCAGCCAACGCAGCCTTGCCTGCCGGAGGAGCTCACCGATGGAACCGTGCCCAGATCTTTCAAAGATTTGTGAGCTCCTCACACAATCCAGCAGGTTAAACCCAGGATGGATCGTAGGCAGGCTAGCCTATATGTTTCTAACCCGCAAAGATGTTCCATTAGGGGGGTCCACGTTTCGCAAGCGTAGAGAAGGGAGGGAATAACCGTGGCCGAGAAGACCTGAAGCTTAGTGCGGAGCGACAGACCAGGTAGCTTCCACACAGCGTTACGCAACCGATGAAAAGATATTGCCACTCGACTGATTCGGAGTGAGACCTCTGCTGTTAAACTGGAGCCGGTCATAAGCACACTGCCCAGGTATGGGAAACTCTCCACTCTCTCCACAACTGCCCAATCACCGATTGAGAGTTGTGGGGGTGGAGTGTCCAATGGTACAAAATACCCAGGCAGGTGCTTAGTTTTGGTGGGGCTGATGGTAAGGCCCCATCTCTTAGTGGCACGCTCCAGTCTCAGCAGCAGCGTCTCCAACTCCTCCTCTGAATGAGCAGCTAATACCAAATCATCGGCATACATAACGTGGTTGAGCAATAGGGAGCCATCCCTTGACCGCACCCGGGCATCGATCAGCCCCTCATTATATCTGTACCAAATGGAGATTCCCCCGGTACAGCTATTGAAGGCTTAACGAACTACGTAGTCAAAATTGATGTTAAATAATGTGGGAGCCAGAGGACATCCCTGTCGCACCCCAAGGTGTACAGGTAATGGCTCTGACGCCCGGCCACGTAGTTTTACCCGGGCCGGCTCACCATCATGAAGGTCCTTAATGATCGTGAGCAGAGGGTCAGGGACTCCAAAAGCACGAAGAACAAGGTCAATAAAGCAGAGATGTAGGTCTTGTTGGAATTCCCTACACCTCTGCTGTAGCAGACGGACAGAAAATATGGCATCTGTGCAGGACCGCCCTTTCCTGAAACCACATTGGGGCTCCGCAAGCCTCTCCTCAGCGTGCCTGGCAAGGCGATGTTGAATAATCCTTGCCAGGACCTTTCCCGGCACACTGAGGAGTGAGATGCTCCTGTAGTTGTTACAGTTTTTGCGGTCCCTCTTCTGCCAATCCTGCGGAACCCATCCAGTGGTCCAGACTGTTGTTATGATGTCATATAGGGCAGTCTGTGCACAAACGCCACCCTCCCTCAGCATTTCGCTTGGGAGATCATCTCTACCCGGTGCCTTTCCTGGTCTCAGACTCCGGATCACCTTCAGTACTTCCTCAACAGATGGCACCTCAGCCAGCCACTCACAGGGGGTGACTTCTTCCAATATTTGAGGCACTGCAGCCTCAGCAGGATCATCCCCACTTCGTGCCACGATGTTTTCCTGGCTGATGGATTTCCCCTCCCCCAGGACCTCACAGAAATGCTCAGCAAATCTGCAAACCTGTTCCTGGGGGTCAGAGATTGGATCACCGTTTTTTCCCCTAATGATGGTAATAGGTGTGGCGCTGCAGGTTACTTTTTTGATGGAGTTAAATAGAGATTTGTGATCGCGGGCCACTGAGGCAGACTCCATCTCCTCAGCAACCTGCGACCACCACCCATCATTGCAGCGCCTCACGGCTCTCCGAACCTCCGAGCGAAGGCTGTGGTAAGCCTCCTCATTCTCTGACGTGGGATTCTGTATCCGATGACAGTGGGCCTGTCGCTTTTTCTCAACCAACCTCAACACCTCCTCTGTCAGCCAGGGTCTCTGGGGAGGTCTGGACCACGTACCCAAAGCAGCCATTGCAGCTGCATGAGTCACAGTCCTAAACCTCGCCCATTTACCCTCGACATCAGGAGGAGTGGGGGACAATGCCAACCCCAGCCGCAAGCAATGATGAAATTCTCACTTGCAACTTTCATCAGATAACTGAGACCAGGCCACTTTAGGTTGGAATGGGGTCCTGGGTGTACACCCACCACCGGAGTGGAAGAATGGCAGGTGCATCTTACAGATGACTAGTCGATGGTCAGAGGGCAGATCAGCTCCACGGTAGGTCCTGGTGTCAAGGACATGGGCTCGCATCCGCTGGTCCGTCACTATGTAGTCCAGCAGATGTTCTTGCTTGGACCCGGCATGCATCCATGATGTTGTGTGGATGCGCCGATGCCGGAACAGCGTGTTTGTAATTACAAGCCCATGGGCTGCACAAAAATCTAGCAGCCTCCTACCGTTGTTATTGAGCTGATCTGGCCCATGCCCTCCAATCACTCCAGACCAGGTGCCAGCATCATGACCAACTCGGGTATTGAAGTCACCCAACAAGATGACTCTATCCTGAGGGGCCACTTTAGCCAGCACCTGTGGCACGAGGTCATAGAAGGCATCTGACTCATCGGCTTTGCTGCATCCCTCCACGGATGTTCGTCTTCGGAGGGGGCATAAATAACCACGAACACCACTCCTCTCCTCCGGTTGATGGGAAGGCGAGCCCAAAGTAGCCTGGGGCTTACAGCTTCCCACACCTCACCGCCACGCTCCCACGCCCCCTTCATTCTTTTGTTCAAAAGAAGAGCCACATCCTGTTGTTTGGCAGTCTGTTGCCCCGAGTAGAGGACTGTCCACCCCTCATGGTGGCAGGAGCCAGAACCGGTCCACCGGACCTCCTGAATGCCACAGAGATCCAGGCGGTACCGGTCCAGCTCCCGACAGAGGAGTGGCAGCCTCTCCTCCGCAGTGAGCGTTCGAACATTCCACGTGGCCACACGAAGTGGCTTTTCGTTGTTTCTGGAGGAGCCCCGAGTGTAGAGATTCAATCTCCTGGCTCCGCCAATTGGAGTTTGGCCAGGAGACGTCATAAATGCCTGTCCCCCCGGGGCCTCCGGCACAAGCTTATTAGTTACATATTTCAGTCGTGGTTTAGTGGTAAAATTTTGAAGGTGGAGGGGTTACCAGCCCCTCGCACCCATCCAGAGCCCCCCGTTTAGCCACTGTGGTGGTCACAGACGCCATGAGGGGAGTAGCCAATCGGAATTGGCCCTCCCCCCACAGCACTGTCCACGACAGAGTTGCCCATCCGGCACTGCGAGGAGTTAGCGGGTTGTTTTGCCGTGTACTCACCCACACACACAGACACACCCACACACAGACACCCACACACTCACACACAGACACCCACACACATATACACCCACACACACAGACACCCATACACACAGACACCATTACACAGCATGCACTCCACTCACGGGCTTGATGTCACCGTGTACGATGCCCCGGGACTTGGTGTGGGCCAGGAAGTGGAGGATGGCCCTAGTGTACGACCTCACCGCATCCTCGTGACTTTGCCACAGCGTCATCTGTCTGAGCACGCAATGGAGTTTCGCCCTGCCACGCGGAGAGACAGCGACCATGTCAGTCACGTCAGCGACGACGTCAGCGACGACGTCAGTGACATCAGCGGTTAGCGTGCTGCGCTGCGAACCTGGCGAACTGGGCTCGGTTCCCGCTCATGGCCAACACCCAGTGACGATTATCTGAACCGGTCCTGGGTCTACCCTAGGTCGACTCAGCCTCAAATGAGTACCTGGTGCGATGTGTAAACATCGCCACTGGGGAGACAAAGGCGGCCGCGCGTGGTGTTGGCCACCCACCCCCTCGTGTGCCGTGCCGGCCTTTAAAGGTGCTCGCTAACAGCACTTGCCACTACAGTCTGTTAAGGCTATATGGGGGATCTTTGATCTTTGTGTGCGTATGTTGAAATTCATTCACACCGTACGTAGCCAAGCATGCTAATGTGTGGGTCTCTATGGGTGTCTGTGTGGGTGTCTCTGTGGGTCTCTATGGGTCTCTGTGGGTCTGGGGGTCTGTGGGTCTCTGTGTGTGAATGTATGCAGAACTTCTTTTGCACCATACATAGCCAACCGTACTAATGTATGGGTATGGGTGTCTCTATGGGTCTGTATGGGTGGTGGTGGTGTTGTGGTGGTGGTGTTTGGTGGTGGTGGTGTTTGGTGGTGGTGTTTGGTGGTGGTGGGTGCTGGTGGGTGATGGTGGATGGGTGGTGGGTGGGTGGTTATGGTGGGTGGTTGGGTGAGGGGTTGTGCTGGTGATGGTGGGTGGTTGAGTGGGTGGTGTGGTGGTGATGGTGGGTGGGTGGTGGAGGGTGAGTGGGTGAGTGGTGTGGTGGTGAGTGAGTGAGTGGGTAAGTGGTGGTGGTGAGTGAGTGAGTGGGTGAGTGGTGGTGGTGGTGGGTGAGTGGTGGTGGTGGTGATGGTGAGTTAGTCGGTGGTGGTGGTGAGTGAGTGGGTGGTGGGTGAGTGAGTGAACGAGTGAGTGGGTGAGTGAATGTTGGTGGTGAGTTAATGAGTGAGTGAGTGGTGGTAGTGGTGCTGGTGGTGTGCGTACTTCAACAGCTCCATGACAAGGCATTTGTGGCCTCGAAAGTAGAAAGTCTCCAGGACCCTGACTACGTTGTAGTCCACGTTGCTACGGTCGCTCTGGAGCTCCATGGACATTAGCAGCTCCGTTCTCTGGTGCTTTTCTTCCCTGGAGCTGCGAGCGAGTGAGCAAGTTCACAGAACGAGAGAGAGAAAGAAAGAGAGACAGATAGAGAGAAAGAGACATAAAGAAACAGAGATCAAGACAGAGACAGACAGAGAGAGACAGAGACAGAGAGTTTAGACTTTAATATACAGTGGGTCTGTGTGTGGAACACTGAGTAGTAGTAGTGGGTCTGTGTGTGGAACACTGAGTAGTAATAGTGGGTCTGTGTGTGGAACACTGAGTAGTAGTAGTGGGTCTGTGTGTGTAACACAGAGTAGTAGTAGTGGGTCTGTGTGTGTAACACTGAGTAGAAGTCGTATTGGATCTGTGTGTGTAACACTGTGTAGTAGTAGTGGGTCTGTGTGTGTAACACTGAATAGTAGTAGTGGGTCTGTGTGTGTAACACTGAGTAGAAGTCGTATTGGATCTGTGTGTGTAACACTGTGTAGTAGTAGTGGGTCTATGTGTGTAACACTGAGTAGTAGTAGTGGGTCTGTGTGTGTAACACTGAGTAGTAGTGGGTCTGTGTGTGTAACACTGAGTAGTAGTAATGGGTCTGTGTGTGTAACACTGAGTAGTAGTAGTGGGTCTGTGTGTGTAACACTGAGTAGTAGTAGTGGGTCTGTGTGTGTAACAGTGAGTAGTAGTAATGTGTCTGTGTGTGTAACACTGAGTAGTAGTAGTGGGTCTATGTGTGTAACACTGATTAGTAGTAGTGGGTCTGTGTGTGTAACACTGAGTAGTAGTAATGGGTAATGCGTAGTTGGTCTGTCGCTATCAATATTATCCACAATAGAGGTGAGTTTGGGTTATATGACGTAAATATAAATGTTGTGTCATTAAACCCGCCACACTGACACACGCCCAATTGGTTGAGGTGGTTTGTCACCTAAACACAAAACGCTTGGCCAGCTCGTTACTTGCTCAGCACTTAACCGGTTGTTGTGTTGGAAAGTGTCAAAGTCAATTGTCAGTGTTGTGGTGGGGTTCGTCTCCAACACACAACCAGTGGTGGCGGTGGTGGTGAGGGTGGTGGGGAGGTGGTGGTGGGGTGGGAGTGTCGCTGTGGAGGTGGTGGTGAGGAGGTGGTGGTTGAGCGATGGAGATTCAAGTAAAGGATGTTCAGTCATTGTTTGTTGTTGTGGTTCACAGCCAGCAGCAGTCCCATAGTGTGTGTTTGTTTATTGTTCTTGTTATTGGTGGTGTTATTGTTGTTGTTGACTGCACTGCTGCGCCAGGGCCCACTCACGTGGAGGGCGAGGCGAGGATCTTGAGAGCCACCATCGTCCGAGTCTTGTGGTCCAGACACCTCACCACCACGCTCTGCCCACCCTGCCCAATCTTCCTGTCCAGCTGGAAGCGGTAGTAGAAGTGCTCGTTCTGGACCTGCAGGGGTCACGGGAGGTCAGGGTGGGGGTCACGAGGAGGTCACATGTAGCCAACAGTGCTAATCTGTGGGTCACTGTGGGTGTCTGTGGGTGTCTCTGTGCGTCTCTATGTGTCTGGGTGTCTCTGTATGTGTGTATGTTGAACTTCTTTCGCACTGTACGTAGCCAACCGTGCTAATCTGTGGTGCTTTATGGGTATCAGTGTCTCTGTGTGGGCCTTCATGATAGTGAACAGGCCCGGGTAAAACTACGTGGCCGGGAGTCAGAGCCATTCCCTGTACACCTTGGGGTGTGACAGGGATGTCCTCTGGCTCCCACATTATTTAACATCTATTTTGACCACATAGTTCGTGAAGCCTTCAATAGCTGTACCGGGGGAATCTCCATTTGGTACAGATATAATGGGAGGCTGATCGATGCCCGGGTGCGGTCAACGGATGGCTCCCTATTGCTCAACCACGTTATGTATGCCGATGATTTGGTAATAGCTGCTCATTCAGAGGAGGAGTTGGAGACGCTGCTGCTGAGACTGGAGTGTGCCACTAAGAGATGGGGCCTTACCATCAGCCCCACCAAAACTAAGCACCTGCCTGGGTATTTTGTACCATCGGATACTCCACCCCCACAACTCCCAATCGGTGATGGGGCAATTGTGGAGAGAGTGGAGAGTTTCCCATACCTGGGCAGTGTGCTTATGACCGGCTACAGTTTAACAGCAGAGGTCTCACTCAGAATCAGTCGGGCGGCAATATATTTTCATCGGTTGTGTAACGCTGTGTGGAAGCTACCTGGTCTGTCGCTCCGCACTAAGCTTCAGGTCTTCTCGGCCACGGTCATTCCCTCCCTTCTCTACACTTGCGAAACGTGGACCCCCCAAATGGAACATCTTCGCCGGTTAGAAACATTTAGGCTAGCCTGCCTACGATCCATCATGGGTTTAACCAGGCTGGATTGTGTGAGGAGCTCACAAATCATTGAAAGATCTGGGCAAGGTCCCATCGGTGAGCTCCTCCGGCAGGCAAGGCTGCGTTGGATGGGTCATGTAGCCCGCATGCCCAGCCAACGCATGCCGAAACAGATTTTATTCGGCCGGATCAAGGGGGCTAAACGGGCGCAGCACGGGCTAGAGAAGAGATGGAGTGATGTGGTACAGGAGGATGCGGTGTCAAGATCAGCCTCTGTGGAGGAGGCTCGTGAAGGACGCTACTGGGAAGTTGGAGGCAGCCGCCCTCCAACAACAACGGAGGGCGGAGGAGCGACGGTCACAACAATGAGCGGAGCGCCGGGTGGCTAAAGCACAGCAGGATGGCACAGTAGGGGGCACAGGTGGTGCATCAGCCAGTCATCTCAGACAGTCGTCCCGTGGAACCTGGGTCTACCCCGTGACCTCCTGGCAGCGGGCGTTCAACACTTCACGTGGCCTCAAGGTGCACCTGGCCTGGCACAAGCGTTGTGGTGACGTCACCGCCACTTAGTGGCGAATGGCGGTTGTTGTTGTTGTGTCTGTGTCTTTGTGTGTGTCTGTGAGTCTCACAAGGATGTAGTTGTTGTCGTCGTCGTCAAATTCTCCGTTCTTCACTCCCCCTCGTGAGCTTCCTTCCCCGTCCAGAGTGAAGAACCAAACTTCCTGCATGGTGGCCAGCTCCAGCTTCTGGCGCTCAGTCAAGTGAGGCTTGAAGAGACTCAGGATCGCTGCACACGTGACAACAATAACAACTTAAACTATAAACTAATTTTATTTACGCACACACCGGGTTAAGCCCCCCACCGAAGTGACTGGTATCATCATCCTAATCGTCGTCATCATCGTCATCATCATTATCATCATTGTCATCATCGTCGTCGTCATCATTATCATTGTCATCATCGTCGTCATCGTCATCATCGTCGTCATCATCGTCATCATCATCGTCGTCATCTTCATTATCATCATCGTCATCATCATCGTTGTCATCGTCGTCATCATCGTCATCATCATCGTCATCATCATCGTCGTCATCATCATCATCATCGTCAACATCGTCATCAACGTCATCGTCGTCGTCATCATCACCGTCATCATCATCGTCACCATCGTCGTCATCACCATGTGGGAGCCATTTGCTCTAAGTGCACGTTGATACAGACTTATAGAGACTCATAGAGAACCACAGAGATCCTCAGAGACCCACAAAGAACCATACTCATATAGAACCATAGAGACCCAAGGAGACCCATAGAGCCCCACAGAGATGCACAGAGACCCTCATAGACCCACAGAGACCCATACTCATATAGAACCAGAGACCCACAGAGACCCACTCATATAGACCATAGAGCCCCACAGAGATGCATAGAGACCCTCATAGACCCATACTCATATAGAACCAGAGACCCACAGAGACCCATATTCATATAGAACCATGGAGACCCACAGAGACCCACACAGAACCATACTCATATAGAACCATAGAGACCCAAGGATACCCATAGAGCTCCACAGAGACGCAGAGACCCTCAGAGACCCACTGAGACCCATATTCATATAGAACCAGAGACCCACAGAGACCCATACTTATATAGAACCATAGAGCCCCACAGAGACGCACAGAGACACTCATAGACCCACAGAGACCCATACTCATATAGAACCATAGAGACCCACAGAGACTGCCACTCATATAGAACCAGAGACCCACAAAGACCTATACTCATATAGAACCATATAGACCCACAGAGACCGATACTCAGAGACCCACGGAGCGGTACAGGGTGCGTGTACGGATGATGAACTTCGTTCGCACTGCACGTAGCTAACCGTGCTAAGGTATGGGTCTCTGTGGGTGTCTATGGGTGTCTCTGTGGATCTATGGTTCTTTGTGGGGTGTATCTGTGTGTTTATGGGTCTCTATGGGTGTCTCTATGTGTCTTTGGAGTCTCTTTGGGTATCTCTGTGTGTCTATGGGTCTCTATGGGTGTCTCTATGTGTCTATGGGTATATCTGTGAGTCTCTATGTGTCTATAGGTGTCTCTGTGGGTCTAAGGGTCTCTATGGGTGTCTCTGTGGGTGGCTGGGTGTCTGTGGGTCTCTATGTGTGTCTCTGTGGGTCTCCGTGGTGGTCACTGCGTGGATTTGTTCCCCTTCACATTTTGAGGAATCACCATCGTCACGCTTTTATCAAAGTGTTTTTTCGCTGCTGCTGTGCATTTCCAGGCGATGACAATGATGATGATTTGATGATATCAGGCCACTTGGTTGAGCTGCTGCTATTTGAGCTGCTATCATTCTTAGACTTTGATGATTTTCCTGCTCATCTCTCTCTCTCTCTAACCTTTGGGTGATTTGCTGCGGATTAATCCGGTGCCGGAGGTGAACGCGCTCCACGTGGTGATAGACGGAGGCTGCCTCCCACTCGGTCCAGCTCGACTTGTCTACACACACACATAAACACACACACGTACAAAGACAAAGATCCCCCGTATAGCTTGTAACAGACTGTTGGGGAAAGTGCTTATAGCGAGCCCCTATGAAGCCCAGCATGGCACACGAGGGGGTAGGTGGGCAGCACCATGCCCGGCCGCCTTTGTCTCCACAGTGGCGATGTTTACACACCACACCAGGTACTCATTTGAGGCTGAGTCGACCTACGGGAGGCCCAGGACCGGTTCAAATAATCGTCACTGGTGTTGGCCATAAGCGGGAATCGAACCCGGGTTGCCAGGTTCGTGGCAGTGCGCAAACTGCTACACTACCGCTCCCCACATACACATAAATAAAAAATAAAGATCCCCCATATAGCCTTAACAGACTGTAGGGGGCAAGTGCTGTTAGCGAGCACCTATGAAGGCCGGAACGGTACACGAGGGGGTGGGTGGCCAGCACCACGCCCGACCGCCTTTTTCTCCCTAGTGGCGATGTTTACACACCGCACCAGGTACTCATTTGAGGCTGAGTCGACCTAGGGGAGGCCCGGGACCGGTTCAGATAATCGTCACTGGTGTTGGCCGTGAGCGGGAATCGAACCCGGGTCGCCAGGTTCATAGCGCAGCGCGCTAACCGCTACACTATCGCTACACACATACACACACACATAGACAAAGGTGCAGTAGACTCGTCAACACACACACACAAAGACAACGGTCCCCTTGAGGCTGTAACAAAACTGTGTTCAAAGGTGTGGGTGTTTGTAAGTGTGGGTGTTCATAAGTGTGGGTGGTGTTCGTAATTGTGGGTGTTCGTAGGTGGGTAGTGTTCGTAAGTGTGGATCTTTGTAAGTGTGGGTGGTGTTCGTAAGTGTGGGTGTTCGTAGGTGGGTAGTGTTCGCAAGTGTGGATCTTTGTAAGTGTGGGTGGTGTTCGTAAGTGTGGGTGTTCATAGGTGTGGGTGGTGTTCGTAAGTGAGGATGTTCGTCAGTGAGGGTGTTCGTCGGTGTGGTGTTCGTCAGTGAGGGTGTTGGTGTGGTGTTTGTAAGTGAGGGTGTTCATCAGTGTGGGTGGTGTTTTGTAAGTCCTGGTGTGGTTCATATGTCGAGCAAAAGGGGTCACGCATACCATGGCGCTAATTCTGAGAGTAGCGTTGTTGTGCTCCGTAAATATCTCGGTGTCTCTGCGTGGAGAGTGGAGGGGGGGGGGAAGGAGGAGAGAGTCAGTGGAGGGCGAGGTCACCGCGATCACAAGTGGACTCACATCGTCAACACGGACTCACACATTCATCACAAACTCACATCCTCACCACGAACCCGCATCCTCACTACGGACTCACACCCTCACCAATAACCCACAATACAAACCCCATTCACCAAGAACCCACAACACGGATCCACACACTCACCAAGAACCCACAAAACAGACAAACACACTCTTACCACGAGCCCACAACACGGACCCACACACTCACGACGAACCCACAACACGGACCCACACACTCACCACGAACCCGCAACACGGACCCACACACTTCCCACGAACCCACAACACGGACCCACACACTCACCACGAACCCACAACACGAACCCACACTCACCACGAACCCACAACACGGACCCACACACTCACCACGAACCCACAACACAGACAAACACACTCTTACCACGAACCCACGACACGGACCCACACACTCACCACGAACCCACAACACGGACCCTTACACTCACCAAGAACCCACAACACAGACAAAGACACTCTTACCACGAACCCGCAATACGGACCCACACACTCACCACGAACCCACAACACGGACCCACACACTCACCACGAACCCACAACACGGACCCACACACTCACCACGAACCCACAACACGACCCACACACTCACCACGAACCCACAACACGGACCCACACACTCACCACGAACCCACAACATGGACCCACACACTCACCACGAACCCACAACACAGACCAACACACTCACCAGGAACCCGCAATACGGACCCACACTCTTACCACGAACCCACAACACGGACCCACACACTCACCACGAACCCACAACACGGACCCACACTCTCACCACGAACCCACAATACAAACCCACACTCACCAAGAACCCACAACACGGACCCACACACTCACCACGAACCCACAACATGACCCACACACTCACCACGAACCCACAACACGGACCCACACACTCACCAAGAACCCACAACACGGACCCACACATTCACCACGAACCCACAACACGGACCCACACACTCACCACGAACCCACAACACGGACCCACACACTCACCACGAACCCACAACATGGACCCACACACTTCCCACGAACCCACAACACGGACCCACACACTCAACACGAACCCACAACACGGACCCACACACTCACCACGAACCCACAACACGGACCCACGCACTCACCACGAACCCACAACACGGACCCACACACTCACCACGAACCCACAACACAGACCAACACACTCACCAGGAACCCGCAATACGGACCCACACTCTTCCCACGAACCCACAACACGGACCCACGCACTCACCACGAACCCACAACACAGACCAACATACTCACCACGAACCTGCAACATGGGCCCACACACTCACCACGAACCCACAACACGGACTCATACACTCACCACGAACCCACAACACGGACCCACACACTCACCACGAACCCACAATACAAACCCACACTCACCAAGAACCCACAACACGGATCCACCCACTCACCAAGAACCCACAACACAGACCAATACATTCACCACGAACCCACAACACGGACCCACACACTCACCACGAACCCACAACACGGACCCACACACTAGACCACGAACCCACAACACGGACCCACACACTCTTACCACGAACCCACAACACGGACCCACACACTCACCACGAACCCACAACACGGACCCACACACTCACCACGAACCCACAACACGGACCCACACACTCACCCCGAACCCACAACATGGACTCACACACTCACCACGAACCCACAACACGGACCCACACACTCACCACGAACCCACAACACGGACCCACACACTCACCACGAACCCACAACACGGACCCACACACTCACCACGAACCCACAACACGGACCCACACACTCACCACGAACCCACAACATGGACCCACACACTCACCACGAAACCACAACACGGACCCACACACTCACCACGAACCCACAACACGGACCCACACACTCACCACGAACCCACAACACGGACCCACACACCACGAACCCACAACACGGACCCTTACACTCACCAAGAACCCACAACACAGACAAACACACTCTTACCACGAACCCGCAATACGGACCCACACTCTCACCACGAACCCACATCAACCACAGGACAACCCACACTCACCACGAACCACAACACGGATCCACACTACTCACCAAGAACCCACAACACAGACCATACACTTCACCACGAACCCGACAACACGGACCCACACACTCACCACGAACCCACAACACGGACCCACACACTCACCACGAACCCACAACACGGACCACACACTCACCACGAACCCACAACACGGACCCACACACTCACCACGAACCCACAACACGGACCCACACACTCCCCCGAACCCACAACACTGGACCACACACTCACCACGAACCCACAACACGGACCCACACACTCACCACGAACCCACAACACAGACCCACACACTCACCACGAACCCACAACACGGACCCACACACTCACCACGAACCCACAACACGGACCCACACACTCACCACGAACCCACAACACGGACCCACACACTCACCACGAACCCACAACATGGACCCACACACTCACACGAACCCACAACACGGACCCACACACTCACCACGAACCCACAACACGGACCCACACACTCACCACGAACCCACAACACGGACCCACACACTCACCACGAACCCACAACACGGACCCACACACTCACCACGAACCCACAACACGGACCCACACTCTCACCACGAACCCACAACACGGACCCACACACTCACCACGAACCCACAACACGGACCCACACACTCACCACGAACCCACAACACGGACCCACACACTCACCACGGACCCACACACTCACCACGAACCCGCAATACGGAACCACACTCTCACCACGAACCCACAATACAAACCCACAATACAAACCCACACTCACCAAGAACCACAACACGGATCCACACACTCACCAAGAACCCACAACACAGACCAATACATTCACCACGAACCCACAACACGGACCCACACACTCACCACGAACCCACAACACGGACCCACACACTCACCACGGACCCACAACACGGACCCACACACTCTTACCACAACACGGACCCACACACTCACCACGAACCCACAACACGGACCCACACACTCACCACGAACCCACAACACGGACCCACACACTCACCACGAACCCACAACACGGACCCATACACTCACCACGAACCCACAACACGGACCCACACACTCACCACGAATCCACAACACGGACACACACAGCTCACCTCGTAAAGATTTTCGAGTGGATGGCTTCGACAGAACCTGCTCGAAAGTCGATGATGAAAATGAAGCAGCCGTAGATCCAGCAGCAGCCGCCTCCTTCACATCCGTCTAAAATTCTGAAGAGACGTTATTGCAGCCACGCCCCGTCGAGTGACGTCTTACAACGCGACCACGCCCACCGACAGCTCCTCCCCTGGGCACCACCCACCACCCCCGCGTCTACTTCCGGGTTATGGAGATTGGAGGCGGCGGCGGGAAAATCTGAACCCTATCTGGGCCTCCTCTAGGTCGACGCAGCCTGAAGGTGCCTACACGGGACTCAGTGTGATGAGTCTGTGGGTCTCTGTGTGGTGAGTTTATGGGTCTCTGTGGTGAGTTTGTGGGTCTCTGTGTGGTGAGTCTGTGTGGCGAGTCTGTGGATCTCTGTGGTGAGTCTGTGGGTCTATGTGATGAGTTTGTGGGTCTCAGTGTGGTGAGTCTCTGTGTGGCGAGTCTGTGGGTTTCTGTGTGGTTTGTGGATCTCTGTGTGGTGAGAGTAGGTTTTTGTGTGTGGTGAGTCTGTGGAACTTTGTGTGGTGAGTCTCTGTGTGGTGAGTCTGTGGGTCTCTGTGGTGAATCTGTGGGTCTCAATGTGATGAGTGTGGGTCTCAGTGTGATGAGTCTGTGGGTCTCTGTGGGCCTCTGTGTGGTTTATGGGTCTCTGTGGTGAGTTTGTGTGGCGAGTCTGTGGGTCTCTGTGTGGTGAGTCTGTGGGTCTCTGTGTGGTGAGTTTATGGGTCTCTGTGGTGAGTTTGTGGGTCTCTGTGTGGTGAGTCTGTGTGGCGTGTCTGTGGATCTCTGTGGCGAGTCTGTGGGTCTATGTGTGGTGAGTCTGTGGGTCTATGTGATGAGTTTGTGGGTCTCAGTGTGGTGAGTCTCTGTGTGGCGAGTCTGTGGGTTTCTGTGTGGTTTGTGGATCTGTGTGGTGAGTGTAGGTTTTTGTGTGTGGTGAGTCTCTGTGTGGTGAGGCTGTGGGTCTCTGTGTGGTGAGTTTGTGGGTCTCTGTGTGGTGAGTCTCTGTGTGGTGAGTCTGTGTGGTGAGTCTGTGTGTCTCTGTGGTGAGTCTGTGGGTCTCTGTGTGGTGGTGCAGTGGTTAGTGTGCTGTGTGTGTGGGGAGCGGTAGTGCAGTGGTTAGCGCACTGTGTGTGTGGGGAGCGATGGTGTAGTGGTTAGCGCACTGTGTGTGTGGGGAGCGGTAGTGGAGTGGTTAGTGCGCTGTGTGTGTGCGGAGCGGTGGTGCAGTGGTTAGCGTGCTGTGTGTGGGGAACGGTGGTGCAGTGGTTAGCGCACTGTGTGTGGGGAGCGGTGGAGTCGCGTCGATAGAAAAATAATAATCAAGGTAAGGTTAAATCTTAATTTGAAGCTTTCATGACTGCAGGAATCCATACTCTTTGGTTAGCGCACTGTGTGTGTGTCTGTTGGGGGAGCGGTGGTGCAGTGGTTAGCGCCGATGCAGCTCCCTATCGATGTGCCTGTTACAGAGACAGATTGCCGGAGCCTGCCACTTGCAGAACTGAATTGTGTGTGTTGTGTCTCTGCTTATATCTGAAATTCCCTCCCCTCGGCTCGCCTTCTCAGAAAGGACCGGAATTCCTTTGATTTCGCTCTCAGCTTGTGGGGGCAGTTGTTTGTCCGGTGTACGTGTGTGTGTGTCTGTTTTAATGTATTGAAGTAACTGTTAAGTCGCATCAAGGCCTGGTTCCCGTCCCCCTCCGCAAGCCACCCCGCGATCAATGGAAACAGATGCTCCAAATTGCCCCTAAGTGTGTTTTTCTAGTTTTTCAACTTTCTGCAATAATTAATCTGGAAGGAGGAGGGGTTCCTTTTGTCAGGCTGCGTTCTACCTCCTCCTCTTCCCTCCCGGTTGGAGGTGTTACATTTTCTTGTCTCTCACGAAGAGGGGCGCCGTCTCTTGAAGTTTGACCTCCCGTTACCATGTTTTCCGTTCACTCTGATGGGTTGTGAGTTGCGAGAACAATAAACATGATTTTCCACCCCTTATCTTAGAATGTGTCCCTTTTTGCGGTGTTGACTCTTTAAGTGACTCAAGGTATGTTTTGAGCAGTGTTTACAGTGCGTCCGTCGTGGTTTGGAAGACAAAGGCGGTTGGGAGACTGATTCTATGGAATACATTATCTTGGTTGTGTGTGATTGACCTGTTTTGCAATTTATTTCTTCTAGATGGCCCTCGGTCTAATGCTTACTAAGTATTATTTGGTCTATGTTTAACCAAGGTTTTGTGATGACATAGTTGTTACCACATGTATTCCTAGGGTTTTATTAATCTTTGTTCCCCGTCTGTATCCAGTGATCCGTGCTTTTTATTTACGAGTTGTATTTTGATATCTTGAGGTTTGAAGATCTGGCTAAGTTTTGACTTAGACTTTCGTGACTGCCAGAAATAATTCTTTGGTTATTTTGGTAGAGTCGCGTCGATAGAAAAATAATAAAGGTAAGGTTAAATCTTCATTTAAAGCTTTCGTGACTGCAGGAATCCATACTCTTTGGTTCTTTCGGTAAAGTCACGTAGTTAGAAATAAAATCAAATAAAACAAATCGCGACGTTTCGATTGCAACACAAGCAATCATCATCAGGTGGGAAAAACCACAGCAATAATTTTTTTGCTGAAGTGGGAGAGAGATGCCGTGGTAAGAGGTTATATAGGTAAGAGACTGGGGAGGGGCAAGGGGAGAGAGGGGGGGGGGGCGGGGGCGGGGCGTTGAGTGGACGCTCGGAGAGGGACGTGAAGCTGGACAGGGAGGAAATAGGTGGGGCTGGCAGTGGGAGGGCGAGAGAGCTGGGATGCGGGGGGGAAGTTAACTGGGACACACGAGCGGTGCAATGCAGCAACAATGCCAATGCAGCAGCAACGCCAATGCAGCAACAACGCCAATGCAGCAACAATGCCAATGCAGCAACAACGCCAATGCAGCAACAACGCCAATGCAGCAACAATGCCAATGCAGCAACAACGCCAATGCAGCAACAACGCCAATGCAGCAACAATGCCAATGCAGCAA